AATTAACGAGCCGAACACGAGTTGTTCGCGAACAACGAGCCGTTTTGACAACCCTATTTAACACCTTAACTTCAATTATTACATTGTCACTATTTATGCACGAAATGGCATATGCCGCTTTTCAATATTCAGATAATGGCGTGTTTGATGTAATATAAAAGAATTGGGTGGTATAAAGGTAACATGTAATGCTCAGGTGTTAAACATGTAAAAACATAAAAATAAAAATTGGAAAGCAATGCTCATATTTCTCAGAGTCTTTCTCATTCTTATATTGTAACACTCAACCCATGAAATGAAATTGCAAACTTAAATATAGCCCCAACTGACTCATTGACAATTTAATGAAATCTAAAAATATAATTCAAGGTTTGGTTTTGTTTGTCTTCTAATAAAATTAGTGGCCTTTCAGATAATGTGCAATGGAAAATTGAAGAGCCCTGTGCATAGAGTGGTAGCAAACTCTCAGGACAGAATTTCTTTGGTCATGTTCTATTCTCTTAATTTTGAAAAATACATAGGGCCTGCAGAGAAGCTGGTGGATGAAGGAGAGCCACAATTGTACAAGAAGTTGCTGCTGAAGGACTACCTCAATCAGTTCTTCAAAAACTTTGCCCAAGGAAAGAGAGCCATTCACTTTGCAAAGATGTAAATTAACAGGAATTTGTGTAATGTTGAGGATAAAATTATAATTTTATTTTCACTTGATTTATTTGAGATTAGGGTCATATATTCATCTCAGAATATATTGATGATGATAAATTTACACAACAGCATAATGATTGAGGGTTGTATGTCGACTAATTCTTATTATTAAGATGAAAAGTTATGTTGATCAAACTTGAAGTGATATCCTTCTGTTAAGTATTTGCTTGCATTTTATTAAAAAAAAAATGGACCATTTACATACATACCACCTAATTGCCATGTATTTACATGTCTAACTTTTAAGCTTTAATTTTTATATTTAAACTGCCCAAATAGTTTATATTGCGTGATTTTAACTTCTGAAAAACGAAATACATGATTTCATGCATGGTTAAGGTGGCATGCATGTGAAATTTGAAGCTTAGGCTAGGAATTAAGTGGTATGAATGTAAATCCTCCAAAAAAAAAAAATTATGATATAAATGTCATTTTTAATGCGCTAAAATATTTTAGTTTTTTAAGGCAATTAACAGTAAATGTTCACCAGCACACCACAGGCTTCAGAATACTTAATTTAATTTAATCAGTAAAAAATAATAATAAATAGAAATTAAAGTATTACAACAGTATATGTGGAAACTTATATAATATTATTCAAAATTATTTATTATTACTTATTGACTTGAGTAATAATAATGACTAATTAACCATATAATTGATGCCAACAAATTAAATTTCTAATATTAATCATTGTTAGCTGTAACTAAATATAGAGAGATTTACACTTATACCTTACAATTCTATGTATTTACATAACCTATCTAACCGAAATTATGCATGTACGGACAAACAACAACAACAACAACAAAGCCTTAATCCCACTACGTGGGGTCGGCTACATGAATCCTTTTTCTCCTTTGCGTCCTATTTAGTGTCATATTTACATATATAATATCACATTTTATCAAAAAAAGGGGGCATTTACATACATAACACCTAACTTCTATGCATTTACATATATAATATGTAAACTTTACTTGTTACATTTTTGTACCACCCAAAAAAAAATTATGACAAGAAATATCATCATTTTAATTTTTGAAAAGTGAAATATACTTTTTCATGCACATATAAGGGCCATATATGTGAAGATTCAAGTATAGGTGTTAGATATGTAAAGATCTAGGAATTGAATGGCATGCATATAAAGCTTCAAAAAAAAAAAAAAAAAAAAAAAAAAAAAAAGATTGTATGATATAAGTGTCATTTGTTATGATGTAAATGTTTTAGGTTATTAAGGGCAATATATGTTCAAGCTATATAGAAAACAAGTAAAAATCCCAATATACCATATTTTATAATTACTATGCATTTTATCCACCTCAGGCTTCACAGAAGTGCTTACTTTAGGGTCCGTTTGGGGGTAGTGGTGCGGCACCACACCTTAATTATGTCCATTTGGATAAAATGCGTTTTGACAACTTTTGAAAAGCTGTCGCTGAAATCAGAGTTTTTCCACCACTAGGGTCTAATTTTTCCAAAAAAAATTGTGTGATTGCCACCACGGCTTCTTAATAACCCGCAGCTGCTCCAGACTCTTCTTAATTAAAACTATATAATAATAAATTGAAGAAAGGGATAATACAAAATGTGATTATTTCCAAGCCAGCTTATTATATAATTTATTTATTTTTTTTATATATTTTCTTGTCTTGTTTTGGTTTAATTTTCGTTCCTTATCTTATTTTATTTTATAATTATTTTTTGTGGAAAAAGGCGATGCAGTTTGAACCACCAATAAATGAAAAGAGTCGTGCGAGAATTATTATGTTTAATATTATTTATTTATTCATTTTTATATAGAATTCAAGTAAATTTTAAAATATGATATATCATAAATATTTTTTCAAATTTATTTATTATTTTCCAATGACTTGACTAATAATAGTGACTATTTAATCATGTATTTGATGCTAACAATTTAAATATATAATACTATTGTTAGATGTAATTTAATTAAGACATTTGCATATTGATAAGAAGATATTTTCTTTTGTCATGCTAAGACGATGATTTATCATTTTCTTACAGTGAATTCTTACAATTAAGTCAAATACGTTATTTTTTCTATTTCTGGGTTTTCCACCTAAAGGCTTCCGGTGTCTCTGTAGGTTGCTTCAGTATGTTATATTTTCGTGCAATGCTAAGACGATAATTTATTACTCTATCATCGTGAATTTTCTAGCTCGTATCAATGTAAATATAAAAGAAATACACCTACAAGCTTTACATGGTCTATATCTTTATAATCAAACTTTTCAATTTATATTTATAGATGTGTTATTAATATTATTTTATTCTTGAATTGTTGGACATTATGTTATTATTTTCAATCACACTTTATTGTGTTATTTATTATGTTTTATATCTTTTGACTTATATTTTGTCTAACTGTCAGAATAAGAATAATATAATTTTTATTGTACTTTTCTATTTAAATGAAATATGCTATTATTATTTATAATAGCTTTAAAAGAAAATATATTAAAATTAAATAATTAAATAATTAGACAGTTATAAGAAAATAAGAAAGACTTACATACTTACCATTCAATTCCTATGTATTTACATATCTAACACCAAACCAAAACTTTAATTTTTACATATACATCATGTTACTCATGCATGGAAATATTATTATTTCACTTTTTCTTAAAATAAAATGATGATATTTTGAAGTGAAATGAAAGATTTGGGGGATATAATTGCAAAAAAGCAAAATTTTAGTGTTATATGTGTAAAGAAAGGACATGGGGGTATTAATGTAAAATCTCTAAAAAATACCCAACCGCAAAAAGTCAAGCAGAACATGGGAAGATGACTTCTAAATATAAAAATACTAATTTCCTTGCAATAAATTTAAGTATTAGTTATGTAAATATACCAAGATACTTAGAGTTATTTACATTCATACCACTTAGGGCCCGTTTGGGACAGCTTTTTGGTGCGGTGACGTTTTGAAAACACACCTGGCCTGTTTGGGTAAACTGTGACTTGGCAGCTTATGCAATTTCAAAACGCAAAAAACAACGTTTTCACAACGCACTTATGTAGGTGCAGTGGGAGCTTATTGGCAATCGTTTGACTTTTCCCAAAAAAATAAAAATTTATAATAACCACCGCACTTAGCTTATCAACAGATTATTTTTAATCAGCTTATCAAATAGATTATACAATAAGCTACAGCTGCCTCAAACAGACCCTTAATTTCTATGTATTTACATATCCACCACTGCTTAGACTTTGATTTTTATAATTATATTTTATACAATCCAAATCCTTCATACATATTACATGAAAATAGTTATATTATTTTAAAGTTTTAAAAAATAAAATATATTTTTTTCTTATGCGCAAGTAAAGTGGAATGCATGCAAAAATTAAACTTTGGCAATAGATATGTAAATACATAAAAAAAATTGAGTGGTATATTTGTAAATCATGGAAATGTTAAAAGTACAACGTTTTATTCCCCATGAAGGAACAACGGCCCTGTGTGATGCTGAAATTGAACTAGTAGTGATAACTCACAAAGACTGACCAATAAGATTCAGAAACAGCAGCGGAGAAGAAGAAGAAGGAAAGCCGGAGCTTCTCCTCTCAACGAATTCGAATATGGTAGATACAGCGTTCGAAGGGAGGCTGGTCCAGGAGCTGGCCGCTAAGAGCAGCGGTGAGATACCAACCCAGTTTGTTCAGAAAGAGGAGAATCGTCCCATCGGTTCTGCACCGCCGGCCTCCGGCGTTCCCATCATCGACCTCCGCCGCCTCACCGAGCCGGGTGCAGGCGAGGAGCTCCTCCGGTTCAAGTTAGCCCTCCAAACCTGGGGCATGTTCCAGGTCGCATTTCTTATCCGATGCATAATAAGCCCTTATTGGTGAATCTTATTATAGTTAACCCTCAAGTATAATTGATTCAGAAAATTTATTGTTCAATTTGGTCTGATACACAAAAATTTCTGGTGGATCAAATGGCAGTTGAGCTCAGCTAGCCAAGGAAATCTATATTGGATTTTCCTTTTTAAGCTTGTCTCTAGGGAGAATGTGATCGCCAGGTTCATCATCTGCGTAGATAGATCTTTGAATTGTAAATCTATCAAACACTAAGTCAGACCATCATATGTCACCAATAAAATTTGTTATCATCACGCTCACGGTGCTAATGTTCTCCCTTTATTTGGCGTCGATGAATCAATGTCGCTTCAAGGAGGACAAAGTCATGAACATAAACATAAGCCTGTCCCCTTATTTGAAATCATGTAGAGATAGACTGCATCTAACTTCGTGCATCGACTTACATTACACAATAAGGCCATAATGATTTGAATGATGCTTGTTGAATTTAATACATAAGCCGTGTGAAATTAGCTACAATCTAATGATGAAATAACAGAGATTATAGTGTGCATAGCTTATGATCCTAGCTTGTTTCTAACTAGTGTTATGGTGAATGCATGATATTTAGCATCATCTTTGACATGTTGGTTAGAGGTGCTCTTGGAAAAAACCAAATTAATTTAGCTTGATTACTCCATAAGAAATTCACTTGTTCTGCCCAATATTAAAACTTATTCTCATGCATAGTTTTACTCATTTAAGGTGTGCGTGAGGATTAGACATAGAGTAATGAAATACCATATGCACACGGTGTATGGGAATGCTCAAAATTACATTATCATGAATCAATCCAATTTGCATCATATGAAGTGATCATCCTATAAACCAAATGTGACATTTGTTAGAGTATAGACAAGTGAATTACTAAAAATCACAAAACAACTTATCATGTTAGCTAAATTTTAAGTTAATGGATTAAGGAGGTCGTGAGAAATCATCGAAAGTTTACCTTATACCATAACCTTCAAATTCTGGCTTTTGGAGTGCATCTTGAATTTTCTTCAATCATAATGAATCATTTATTTATTCTTCTATGAATACATACAAGTCTTGGCTTTATATTCCCAAACTAATTTGGTATTATAGCATTAGAAACAAGTGCAAGTGAAGATGAATCCATTGCAATGCCTTTGGGATCCAAATTTGTGAAGACTAGTGATGCTTATGAATTTTGTGAAATGAACACACATATGAACCATTCTTCAGCCAAACA